TGTTTTCCTCCATCGAATTAGTTTAGTTCTCACAAGTGTTCCCTCTAAGCTGAGTTAGTGTGAGCCAGCTCACAGCTTTTTAGCCTCCGGCTCACACATTCTTGTCTTGGCTCAGGAAGGAGGGCTCCAGAGCAAACTAATTTATGCAGCGGCCAAATCACTCGCTCACAACTTTAATGGCAGTAGCTCACAAGGTAGAATTTTTGCTCACAAGACTCCACGGCTTAGGGGGAACATTGCTTCTCACCTGACCTTGCTGGCTATTTCAGCTTTTGCTGCCAGCCTCTCTCGCACTCTGGTTGGAAGGGAACGTCACCATCCTGCTTAACATGGCCATCCCCAGTCGAGGTGAGAGATGCGGGCAGGCCCATGGGCAGCCAATGGGTGATGGGAGATCTTTTGTAGATTGACTAGTTATTTTCCTGCCAGTTCTTTGCAACTGACTAAATAGTCCTATCATTCTTGTAATCCGCCTTGAGCCCCAGTGAAAAAGGTGGACTACAAATGAAAATAAAATAAAAAATAAATTTATGTAGGGAATGATTCCATCTATTCGACTTGGAATGGCAGACTACCATTCTCTGTGGTCACCACCCGTCTTTCTCCTTAAGATATTCTGATAACAAAATATAGACTATTACGAAAGCGTTATCAGGTCCCAGGTTCACCAAGAGATATGTCACAAGAGCAAATCTGTGCAGGTTCAGGCAATGTGAGTGTGAGTAAAGCCCCATACTTTGAATGTATAGTTTCAAAGGTTCAAAACTGACCCAGACTGGGTCAATCTCTTAATACAGGGTTTAAGGTGAGTTTCCAAATGACAGTAACTTTGCCTCTCTATACCTAGTGCATTATTTAGCCGCATTTAATAGTTAAACACAGATCTGTAGTTTACTGAAGCTTGAAAGTGACGTTTCCATGCTCTGCTCTCCTAACGTAATCTACGTTTCTTGAAACTACATGGGTATTTGGTGTGTTTAATTTGTTAGGCTGATTAAAAAAAGAGGCTAAAACCCGCAGAGCGTCACAGTAAGATGTATTTTTGTACGGTAATGGAAGCATGCCTTCCGGTGATTCATTTCCCACTTATTAAATTGGTATTTATTTTCCTGTATTTATTTGACACACAAAAAAACCATGCAATTTTTAAATATGTTTTAAAATAAACTTTTTGTCTGTGGCTTCAAGTCATTTGCCAGCTGGAGAATCCACTGATTTACGTCTGCCAGGGAGGAAGGGAAATCGGGTGGGATCCTGCCAGCTTTTCTATTTGGACTGGCAACGACTCTCCGGGATCTCAGGCAGGGGTTTTTCACTTCCCTCACTGCCTGATCCTTTTAACTTGAGACGCCAGGGGTGGAACCTGGGACCTTCCTGCATACAAAGCAGATGCTCTGCCACTGGGTGACAGCCCCTCTCCAGTTCCTCTCCTCGCTGCAGTCATCTCATGTACCCAGGGCTGCCAGCCTCCAGGTGGGGCCTGGAGACCTCCCGCTTTTAGATCTCCAGCTGACAGAGATCAGCTCCCCTGGAGAAAATGGCCGCTTTGAAGGATGGACTCTGTGGCATTGGACCATGCTGAGGCCCCTCCCCTCCCCAGGCTCCACCCCCAAAAGTCTCCAGGTATTTTCCAACCCAGACCTGGCAGCCCTACATGTAACCTTTATCGGTGTAGTTTCCACAGTCTCTCACATGGCCTTTTTGGTGTCTGAAGGTCCCCCTTCCCATCTCTTTTCCAAGTGTCATGAGTGGTAGTGGTAGGATAAATCCCGATATGGGAACCCGCTTCTTAGTAGCCCAATTACCTTATTTTGTCTACTTACGTGAAGAGGGCTTTTTTTATATATAGGAATATTCTTCGGCTTTGATTCATTAGCCCCAGATACAGTGCCAGGCGAGCCTCTCCAATTTGCTTGGAAACAGTTACCACCACAACAACAAAAAGACCCCTGGAATCAAAAATTATGAGAACTTTTTCTTTTTTTTTAATTTTAAAACAATTGCAAGAATCTCTCATTCGTATGCCTTTACACGGCAGGCAAATTCTCTCCAAAACTTGAATAGTGTTTCAAGCAAACAACTCTGAATGGTGCGAAGCGTTCGCCCGCTTTTGCGAACGCTTCCAGGATACAGTAGTCGACTTCAAGAGGTGGGACGGAGCTCATACAGTGGTCCCCATCCAACTTGAGAAGCGGGGGAGGGCAATGAGGAGACAAGATTACATCAAAAAAAGGCACATCCAGTTCCACCCTAATTTTGCATAGTCATTCAATGCTTCGGAAAGTCAAACTTCACAGAAAAATAGTGGAACTGCCACAAAGGTGGAAGACAAAGGCCATTATGTGGCATCTAAAACATCCACCAGACAGTTCTACAAAGTTAACAGGCCAGTCCAGATGTCTTTAAAACCTCTATATTGCCAGAGCCACATGGACAACAGACAACTCACATGAACCCAAAAGTGGGCTCACATGAACCCAAAAATTCCGGTGCAGTCCCAAACTGAGCCCAAAATGCCTGAACCAGCCAGTTTGGACCTACTTTCTCCTGGAAAGGGTTAAATGGCTGGCAGCCATTTAACCTGTCCTTTTTGCTTTCCCCCTGCTTTGAAGTGGGGGAAGAAAGAATCAGAAAGGTTCAATAGCCGACAGGCAGACCCGCCCTGCTATTGGGTTTAAACGGCTGACCGCCATTTCAGCCTAACAGCGGGGCTGGTACATCAAACCGGGCAAAAGTCCAGAAAATATTCGGAGAAGAACACACAGAGGTGCCGGTATTCATTACAGCGGTGTGTTTTTCTAACCACTGCACTTTTGTGTTGACACTTGCAGGAAGCAGTGCCTGTATCTGCAGCTATGTTGCTTCTTCCATGAGGCTACTGTGCTTGAAAGATTTTAAAGCATCCAAACTGGCACCATGTTTACTGCGCAGCAGTCTGAGTTATCTCATCAGTGCGTACATTCGTAAAAGTTACTCTGAAGCAGATTTTCTAGGGAGAGGCAAAATAGGATTTTGTTCACAGGGTGATCGTCTAGTAAAGATACGCTCATTTACCCATTCAGCTGCAAGTTATATATGTGTACTCATCTGATAGCTTTAAAAATATATATACATGCACCAAAAAGTTATAATAGAACAAACTATTACTGATAA